CGTCAACAATTCCCAGCGAGTTATTCTTTTAACACCCTTCCCAAGTCCACGCACAATACTTGCCAGTCGTAAGGGGGATAGAAAAAAATCAAAACGGCGATGAAGAACGGAAAGAAAGAACTTGAAATAAAAGACAAAGTTCCTTGAAGACTGCACGTACCAGCGGCGAGTTCCAAAGACAAAAGACCTCCTCTGCAGCGGCAGCTCCGAATGAAACCGAACGCGGATTACAATTCGCCGCGTAGAGAAGGGCATGGGAAAGGGCGTAATTCTTTAATATCGAGGTTGCCGGTCGAGAACGAGCGTATCGCGTCGCGAGCCGGCTTCGGGTATCGTTTCGCGCCGGAGCAAGAGATAACGAGTAAATTTTTCATGACTATCCTCATTAAACGGGTGCCCGGAGGCTGGTCGGCGCGGCGATGGCGAGGGAGAGAGCGAGAGGGGATCCGTTGAATCCGATCGAAAGAGCGAAGACCATCGACGCCAGGAGGTAACGAACCCTGACGGGTCTCCGCCTGTCCCGGGCGCGCAATTGTGTGTTTGGAGCACATGCAATATGCTTTGTGCCGGGACGCCCGGGGGCTAAGGTATTCCCTCGCAGTGGCCCATGGATGAGAGACCAGGCTAAGACCGGCGCGGGCGGCTCCGCAGAGCGGAGATGGATGGATGGATAGGCAGAGAGCGAAAGAGCAAGCTGCAAGGACTAGGAGTCTCATCGAGAGATCGGCCACGGATCACCGCAGGGACCGTAGGGAAGAAGCGCGCGGCTGAGCGATGTTTGCCCCGCTCAAATGTTGACCGAGCTACCCTCACCACTCCGGGATCATATCCTGCTTTCAGACGAACCTCTCAGGATATACGCGGACCCGGGTCCCTTCTAAGACGTCCGTCACGATTCCGAGTTGACGCCCCGACGCGGTTACACACCGCGGGGATACAGGACTCTTCGGTAACTCGGATGGCGACGGTTTTTTGGTCAGGGATCTCTGGGGATTTTGGCGTCCTCTATGGTCGTCGGAGGATTTTGGGTCAGTCGAGCTTGGGAATATAATCTCGACCTTACGATGTGGGGTTAAGTTACAGTTTTTATTGTTCTGTTCTTTGGTTGCTCTTTGAACTGGTCTTATTGTTTTGTCGGACGCTCGCGTACTTTTATCTCTGTTTCATTTGGAAACTAGAATCTCATCCGGTGAATTCTTTGACTCCTTATCATTTCGAATAGTAATTATAGTTCGACTAATAAACCAGCTGTTGGAATTAATTCGTGTTTAAGTAGGATTCTCGTAAAAGTCAGCTACCATTGGTTACCTGTCAATGTCCCACGATCGAACAATCAATCGCTAATTAAGAATGATATGTCATCCTTCGTAAAGAGACAGTCCTTTCTAGCCAGCCCCTAGGAAAGGTCGCGGCGACGGTGTTTAAAGTAGCGCCCCATCGTCGCCATCGTCGCGCACCGTTAATTCGTCCCGGTGATTATGGATCCATTAGCGTGGCAGCCAACAAATAGCACGGTACAATCCAATAACCGTCGCGGCCCATAATAAAAGGGGAGGCAGTTTAAGCACCAGTCGGGGGTAGTTTAGGCGACGGTCGCGTACGCACGCAGAACCCAGCTTACACGAGCACAGTGCACGCGAGACACCCCGAGTGTTTACTAGTAGATATCCCGGTTCCCCTTCTCCCTGTTTCGAGTAGTCATCGGGACCCTATTTCTATCCTCTATCTCTTTCTTTCTTCTTTCACCCTCTTTCTCACTCTTCCGTCCTCCCTTCGCTATCTTCCTCTATCTTCCTGTCTTCACCCTTTTCCTCTCTTTCTCCCTTCGCTCTACTCCCATCTCTATCCGCCTGCACACTCTTACTCTCTCCTTCCCACCCCCTTCCCGATTTCATTCACTTATTCTATCCCCCTCTTTTCAAGCACTCTTCTCTCTCTTCCTCGCCGATCGGCTATCCGATTTTAGCTGCGCGCCGGTGCGGCCGGAACGAGGGAAACAGAAAAAGAGAAAGAGGGGGTGGCGTCCCCAATACCGGCCAGATAGCGATCACCGCGTTCATTGTCGCATCACCGTAATATCCTGCTATACCGGGACGCGAACGGGGGTTGCACGCGGGGACGATGACGACCACGACGACGCGCTGCTCGAGAAGAACCCCGCGCTCCGGGACCGTTCGCCAATACAATCGCTAGCGAACGGGGTGAACGAAGGGGGTTGGAGCAGCGGGCGGACGACGGAGACGCGGAGGGTGGACTAAAAGCCTCGACTCCGCGTTTCGGACGAGCACACCGACCGCCGCCGCCACCGACGTGTTAATTATCCCCGGCGTTTCGCGCGGAACAAAAATCGCGGGGACCGACGTTGTCTGTTCAGGGAGGGGCGGGATTGTTCAATGGAAATTAATTGGGGACGGACTTTGAACGCGTCCCGATGGAAACTCAATCCCGCGACCGGTTCCACTCTGTTTTGGATCTTTCCTGGTCTCGCGGGAATACATGGGCGCCTCGGTGTTTAACACGCTTACCGCCACGGTGCTCATCACCCGCGCTTTTCAATTGTTTGAGGGGAACTATAGTATGGAAAATGATTGCTGTCGAATGAAGATGTACTGAACAATTCAATACAGGTTTTGAGGATATTAGAGACTTTGAATTAATATGTTGTTAAGGAGCAACAGCTTTACTTAAATGAAAATGACTTTTGGGTGGCATTATTAGAGGAATTAGGGGACAAAGAATCAAATTTTGTTTTTATATTTTACACAAAGGTGGAGATTGAAACTTTGGTGATATATCGTTGATCGGAGGAATTACTTTCTGATCTTGCTAGAGTTAACAGTCAGAGGACAAGGGGATACTTGTAACAATTTTCCATTGGTATTAATTTTTTTCCATATATTTATTCCCCTGTTACTGTTGTAACATGAACTCGCACGGAATTTTTATCCGGCGAGCTGTACACAGGAAGATAGGTTGGCAAAGGGGCGAGTAATCCACACCGTTTTTCAGGATCGAATTCGATTATTGAAAATATAAAATTGTTTAATATTTTCCGCCGTAAATCCGCAGCGGCCGGATATCCCGGCTAGCGAAAAACCCACCGGCGCCGTCGATCCACAAACGAACGTCGCTACGTATGTCCTAAATCCAAAATTCCGAGCTATTAAGCCGATTGCGATGAATTTTCAAGAGGAATCCGTACACTTGTCGGGCATGAAATTGAGAGAATTACGGGGTGTCGGTTTTCCGCTTGAAAAAAAGTACACGCGCCCTGTATGAAAACTCTCAAATGTTCCTTGAAAAGTGTAAGAATAATGCAAAAACAAAAAATGAATCGGCACGTTGACTGGTACGTCTAAAAATTACAATTATCCTAAGCCACGTCTGACCAAGTTCAATTTATCATCGTTACAATTTTCTTCCAAACACTAGCATCATACTCGAACCCAATTTAACACGTTCGTTACCAGCGTCGCATATTTGTGACAGTCGTAATCCTTTTATACAATCAAATTAAATTAGTCCCGCAAATATTATTATTTAAAGTTATAAACTACGACATTACATTTATAAACTCAATAACTCGTTTCAGTTTCATTTTTTCAATATTCTACAATGTTTACAAGATTTCTTGGGTTAAATAAAATATTACAATTGAGAAGATCGTCACCAAAACAATCGCTGATAGCGAACGTGTTAAGGAATTCGGAAGGTCAATAATCTAGAAAGTCAATACCACGTAACGATCGCCTTTGAAATAGAGAAAAAAATATCTGCTTCTAAACAATCCCGTTCCAACGCCGCCGACAATCGTGTCGTCCGTTTTACGCAGAACGATTTCTCGGTTAGGTTCGAGTAATTTCCGCAAATGAAATCCGATCTTTTACGATGGCGTTCGTTGCGTATTTCGTCGGGGGCCCGATGGAGCCGGAAATAAATCCCGTCTGATCGCGAGCAATCTCGCGAAATCTCCCCTCCCGTGTCGTTCCGTTCTCCTTCTCTTTGAACATTTAAACGCGGCCGCTAATCTCGAGCCGAAGCGTTTCAAGGCGATCAGCGCCGTGGTCGGAGCCGAACGAACGTTTTCACATAAACGTTCGGTGATCTTTACTGCCGCCAGGCTCTTCGAACCCGCCCGCTTCGCCTCGCCTGGCCTCGCCCGACTTTATGGGCCTGTCGAGCAAATGAAATGAAATTCATGCAAATCGCGGCACAGCCGACCGGTCCAGGCGCCGCTTTTGTATCGGGGCGGCGATGCGTCCAACCTATATCACGAGGGTGAAACCGTACTTCCCCCTTTGCCAGCCACGAGCCGAGCTCCGAATCAAGTCCCGGCCACCATCGTGTCTTTTCGTGGTTGTGAACGTTTAGGGTCGATTTCGCTCGAACGCTAAACCTGAAATTTCAATGTTCAACCCGTTCACCGTTTAAAACTATTCTATTCTCTTCTGTTTTCGATACGACTTCTTATAGAATCGTGATATTATCGTGGTTCCCAACGATGGAACAATTAGTTCTTGAATCTTCTACTCTCGAAGTGAGCAGGTTTCCTTTTGAATGTTCAGCAAACGTTATATTATAGTATTTGATATTATTCAGAATTATTATTTCCAAATATACGAAACAGAATAAATGTTTCAAGAACATTAGAGCTATCTCTAAAATTTCAAATATTGCATCTTTTACAGAGAGTTGTCGCGATATCGTGGAAAACTTATACAACTCTCCATGGCCGGAGAACACGGTTCTCCTTGTTTTCCGAGGCAAGGCGACTATAATTGCTGCATTAACCAGTGGCGCAAAGATCAAAACTACCGTTAACTTCTTTAATAACTCGCGACGTTCCCATTTGACAGAGAGATCCGGGGCGTAACTTTGTTCGTTAGCAGTGGGGGGAAGGTAGTCAATGGAAAAAGGAATCCGAGGACCTCGAATGTAATACGCGTTCGAGTAGCAACCGGTGATCATCAATTCTGATCCCGGGTCTCGTTTCGTTTCAGGCGATGTGAAGAACGCGCCCAACTATTACGGCAAACCGATCGGATCCCTGCGGATGGAGGGACGCAATGTCAGCGGCGACGTGTTCGCCGTGGGGGAGTCGATGCTGTTCATAAAGGGCTTCACTTACGACGGAATCGGCGCGCGCGCGCACTTCTTGGCCGGCAACACATCCAATCCTAGCCAGCAGGATGGTTACCTAATCCCGTATCCGCCTGTGGAGAAAGGCAGGTAAGACCGTTGTCTGTTTTAAGCCGATACATCTCGTCGTTATCGGATTCTGCCCCGATGAATTCGCTCTTCTTCCCACGCTTCTACTTTCCCTTTCAACGAAACGAATCTGTGGCAGGACGGTTGATCCTGGCACGCTCGGTGTTTATTCAAATTCCGAGTGACGCTGCGCGTCGCATAGTTTCGGAGGAATTGGAGATTGCTATTTTAAAGTGTTCGATATATAAAGTTGAGAGATTTTTTTAACCCTTTGTACTCCAGAAGTGTTTCACTGGAGATACTCAATACTTTTGTAATGAGATATAAATATAATTATAATATAAATCGAGGAACAAATCTATTTCATTTCAATATTTCACATATCGATGCGTTATACGAAGTTTAATATTAAATATCAAGCTTTACAATTTTACTGAGTAAAATCAATTGGCGACTGAGGTGTCTCTAGAGTGCAAAGGGTTAACCGTGGCGATTTCTTATGAATGATTGGAAGTCGAAAATGTTGTACCATGAAATTGAGAATAGGTAACTGAAAAATTATTGCGAAGGTGAAAAGTATATATTTTGTTAAAGTAAAAGGAGAACTCTCTTATAATCCTTCTAATGAAATAGAAATCAATTTGACTGCACAATAATCAGTGTTCAAATTTCCATTTCATATAGTGTCCTCCATTTTACACAAGGCGACGAATTGAAATATCACACAGTACCATCAGTCTCACCTAAAACAACACGTTAAACTACCACATACCTCCATGCAATTCCCATAAAGCAACGAGTGGAAATATCACATAATTCCAGCTGCTTCTCATAAAGCAACGAGCGAATGTATCACGCTTCTTACAAGCATCCATCCCTCATTCCTCTAAGGTGAAACTTTCTAAAAAAAAACCGGGATCTAAGAAAAGAGTAGGGTTTTCTTTCCGGTAGACATTTCGGACGGCGTACAGGGCCACTTGAAAGGGTCCCAAGAAAGTCCTCTCGCCCCATACACGGCCAGTCATTCTCGCACGAACGACCAAGAATGAAACGCGCGGAACGCGGTTGGGTTGCGCGTGCGGTCAGGGTTGACACGGCGGGAGCCGAATGCCAAAAGAAAGGGAAAGAAGGAGCGGAAGGGAGCGAGGAGTGGGCGGCTGTCGAACGAAAGCCGCATACCGTAACCAAGGGACGAAATGAAACTCAAAGAGCGCGTTGCGCGGAACGGAGGGGGCGCGCGGGGGCTGAATGGAAACAGGAGGAAGGCCGGACGAACGGATCGCGGGGGTGCAGTTAATAAAACGGGAATTATACGCCGATCTCGTTCGGATTTCATCCGCGCGAGCACTTTATTACGTTTCGACCCGCCGCACCGCTGCCGTTTCCCGCTTGTCTCCACCGAGTTTCAGCGGGAAAAGTCGTAAACAGGAAGCCGCTTCTTCGAACTACCCCTTAGATCGGTATTTTCCAAGCTGAATTCAACTGGGTCTTGTATAAGTTGGACGCGTAAGGCTTCGAGGCTGAAATCGCGAATACAGTAACTGTGAATGCAAAGATCGATTTGTTTATTGAAAATGATAAGAAAATAAATAATGCTTGTAGATGATTGAATAAAGAGAGAGCTTTGAGTAGGTGTTATTTAAAATAGGTGTTATTTTAATCAAAGGAAGATTGTCGTGATAATTTGATTCGATGTAATGTTTGCCAGTGGATTAAGTTGATGTTTGAGCAAATGATACTTGCTGTGGTTTTAGTATAGTTTTATTCATTGGACTGTGTTGTTATTGATTTAATATTGCTATGACCTTGTATGATTTTCAAGGTGTTGATTTTTTAATGCTTTAGTGTCTCTGCAGAATTGCATCTACAGATCTTTATTTTCAAATATTGTTATAAGAGGAAATGAAATTTTCTCTTGAAAGTGGCGTTACCAATGAAGTAATCAGTAGTTGAAAATCAACGATGCTTCGGTTCGATCGTTGGTGACATTTGCTCGGTGTGAACGACTATTGCGTGTGGTACTATTAGAACAGTTACAAACACAATGGACCGCCGATGGTTCTCCGATGTTTTCTCTATTTTTTCGTCTGTTCTGCGCAGAGACCCGGAGAAGCTGCGAGCGTTCAACAAGACGGACATCTTTCTGGAGTTGCCTGATAGAAAACGGATACGGGACTTCAAATGGCTCGGCATTTGGGACACTCGAATCACCGTGAGTGACCTTTACTATACACAAATCTTTAACATGCAAACGATATCGAGGACAAGCCTGATCGACAGATAACTCCGTTGAATTTCGTTATAACACTCGAATCCCCGCAAATCCGAATTAAATAAACTCATTTCACATGTTTAAATATTTCCAGAATATGTAGCGATTCAGTATTAATTGAACTAGCACTTTGACTTCCAAGTAAAAACTTCATAATGACTGCTCTCTTGTCTTTCTTATACTTCGTATATCCAAAAAACTTCGATTCGTTCGATGCGTTATCAAGAAAATGAACGTGTAATTTCATGTAAAAAATGGTGTCGCCCGAATTTGGATGACGTGGCAGTGAGAGTGCTAATGAAACATCCAATTTAAGAAACGAATTTGGAGTTACATTTAAGCAACCAACATTTTCGTCGCTGAAATCGTATAACAACTCCCCCACTGAACCTGTTATGGATTCCCGGGCAATCCGAAAGGAAATCTAGGTAAATCTAGGGGGTGCAAGGGAATCGTGTATGGTGAATCCCGTAGAAATTCCCGCGACCCGTCTAGTACGAGAATAAACCGACGATATCCTTCGTAATCTTGCGCCCGGTATTTCCGATAAATTCGTGCGGTGCAGCCCGGGCCAAGTTGGAAAAAAACGGTGCGACGGCTCCGTGGGGCGCGGAGAATGGAGATAACTTGATTTTTGAGGAGATCCACGGGCCCCCGTCGCCTATCTGACGCGTATTCGTGGTCAATGGTGCGTGTCGGATGGATACGGAAGCCGGGAAGCAGGGGTGTGCACGCGTTCCCGCACACGTGCAACGTCGCCGCCGTTGTCTGCACGCATCTAAGCATGCAGTCGAGTCGTTCCACCTCTCGAGGAACGCTCGTCCTCTTCCGCCGATTTTTTTCCGGTCGGTTTCCGGCGAACGGAACAACGGAAATGGACGAATTGGTTGATTTACTTAGCGCTGATTGTGGTGTTCGGGGGTTGACACTGGGACTACCCGTTGAAATGGATGCTGCTGGGTTTCTTGTCGTATAGATACTGCAGTTATGCAGTATTTGTATTCAATATTAATCGAGAAATTTGGATTTTCGTTTGTGGAATGTACGTCGAAGGAAACTTGAGAAGATATTCTTTCGTAATGTTTCTAGGAAATTGATCGTTTCAAACACTTGGTAATTTTAATATTAATAATAATAATTCTGAGTTAATATCAATAGTAGTTCCAATGCTAACAACGTTAACGATAGATGAACGAAGAGAATAATCCAAGAAAATCTATCAAAAATTTATCGCTTCCGCTAGAATATAAATTCTTCCGAGTGATTCGATCCGATTAAAAGTAACACATCGTCCCTCCTACTTTGCTCGTTCACTAAACTCGTATAATAAAGCTACAATACCGACAATGCCACAGTTTCCAACTCCTATTATTCTCAAGCTACCCACGCCATGACCGGGCTGATTAAAAATCGACACACGATCAAGATCCCGACCATCCCAGACCGAAGATCCATTCGAATCCCTCGAATTTGCACGGTCCTACGCGCGTTTCACGGTGCAGTAAACCCGCACGCGTTCGCCGGCGCTTAATAAATCTGTCCATCCCTTTCGCGATCCACCCTCGCACGCCCACTCGCTTACCCACAAATCCAGCCGGGGGGGCCGGTGGCTCGCACAAAAGTCAGTATCGCCGGCCAGAAGATTTTCAAGTGATGGGAGGGCAGCGAGGAAGGAGAGAAAGGTTTGAAACGAGCATATCGACGTCTCTGCGCGGAGAGAGAGAACCGAAGGGCGAGCGAGAGAGAACTGGCAGCTTTTGCTCTTATATTAGGAGGGCTTTAATATCGAAGTCTGAGGGGTGCTCCCATACCGTGACAACCCTCCATCAGACACGCTCTGTCACCGCAAAACGCGCTGTCCGCCGCCCACGGTCCGCTCCTACAGGGTGTCCCGTTACGAACCCACCCCCACCCGTAAGTGATCGTCGAACCTTTCGTTATAAATCGATCCGTCCATCTCTCTCTATCCCTTTTCCCTCCTTCGAGCTCCTGTCAGCCTCTCTCGCACCGTAGTCGAGTGTGCACCGATCGGGGAACGTGAGTGGAAGCCAGACGCCGCGACAACGAGGGCGAGAGGGAAGGGGATGGTGGTTGATTCGGGGAGAACCCGATGAATGTATGATCGCGATTTTGCGACAGGAATACGGAAAAGGGCTCTCGCGGCGTTTCGTGAAAGATTAAAGCGCTCGCCGCTGAAAAATACCGCGTCGCTAACGCTGGATACAATAATCAATGGGGAAACGCATTTCGACGGAGTGACGGCTGGAATGCGGGATTAAGATCAATTTGACGGAAGCGCACCGGGCAGTACGTTGGGAGGTTTGAAAGGGTGTTTTTGTGGGCGGAGCGGTTTCGTTGGTGGATTTGTAACAGATGAATAGTCTTTAATACTGGAATTAGCGGAGAAATTTTAATGGCTTGATTTCCTTCGTAATTGTTGAGAACATAGGGCTAGGATATTCACAGATCAAGCGATATAGTGACGAACAAACTGAAATGTAAGGGAATTATGATCTTAATGAATGCATCTTTGTAATTTCTAAAAAGTAACAGAAACTCGTCGACTCGATTATTCGGTAATTGCATAATTCCACGCCGAAGCTCCAGAAACGCCCATCGATCATTCCCATGGAACCTTATCGCAATACCAGGGAATGATCTTACAAGAGATTTCATCAACAATCAGCATCTTAATTTCCAGCGCCGAACCTCGGTCTACAGACACCCTCTCCCCAGTTTCATTCACGCATTTTTCAATGCGTCCAAATACCAACAACCGTTTCCCGACGCGCGAACATGCTTCCTCCCAGCCAGAAATCTCGGTTCGCTCCTGTTTCCCTCGATACACGCGCTGCTCCATTCAATACCCGCGATTCACTGAGAAATCGGCTCGCCGATGGGGTGTACCACGATCCTCTCTCACTGTCACGAGGAATGGGAAGCTGGTGGATAGGAGACGGGCAGATTTTGCTTGGGTATCCGGTAGACAGGAGCTGTCTGTCTGTCTCTCTGTCTGTCTGCCAGTCAGCACACCCTCGCGTTACGTCGAAGGATGTATTGTCAGGAATAAGCCTTCTTCTTGTTCCGCTTTTCCTCTTCGCCGTTTCGCCGCGCCGCCCGCCCTATCCACCCTAGCCTATCCGCGACACGCTACCCGGGCTGCTGGTTTCCTTTGAAAAGGACCGGAGAGATATCCACGGTCGATATCAAACCGCCGTCTCAATGGGCCACTGATTCAGATAGGATTTAGTAATTTTTTTTCCTTCCCCCACGCTCCTTTTCATCCCGTGCCTCCTTCGTCCAGCTCAATCGCGCAGCCACCGTCCATCCCCTCGGCTCGACCAACGTTCAAAACGGTCCCGGCACTTTGCCCGCGATAGGGGAAGCCCGGCGTCCGCGGTTCCCTGCTGGTCACTGGGATCTTATCCGCGGGGCTTCCTCGGGGAATCCAAAACGTTAAAGCCGTTGATCGGTCTTTCATCTCCGTCCTGGACCGTGATGCGGCTACGGACACGGGTATCCCGTGACGGCAACCCCTTGGAGACTCCTGTTTGACCGCTGGCGATGAAAGAATTTTGGTTCGACCAATGAACGCGAGGGTAAATGTACACAAAACTGTGCGATGATAACGATTTCCTCGCTTGTTCTACTTCTTTGGGGTGCGGTGGACTTGTTAAATGTAACTTCGATGATTGTTGAGGACTGCTTTAAGAGTTTCGACGATTTCCTTCGGGAAAGTTTGAAAGTGGAGGGTTTTGAGGCTGGTTTAGGATATTGGGGTATTGAAAGAATTCTGGTAAGTTTCGATTGTTTTAGATGAATTGTCCATTATTGGAGAGGTTTTTTATAGGATTTCTTCGGGTCTCATTGGAAATTGAGTTAAGGTTAGATTGTGTTGTTGAATTGAGGGGCACTAGTTTAGATATTACTGTATCGATGGTGTTAGTAAGCGAACTGCTGATTGTCTATAGCTGCTAGATCTTGCGTAATTGTAGATCGCGTATTATAAAATTCGTTCCACCTAAATAGACGGTTGAACCCTTTACACGCCAGATACATTTAAATACACGATGGAAAAATGTTGGCCGTGCTATTACGGACTGTTTCACTTTCCGGCTGAACAACGCGCGACACGAACCACTGCGGAAATGAAAAAAGCCGAATCGCATTATCCCTCGATCTCGTACGTGCCTTCCGCATTACGAGCGCGGTTCGTGCCGCGTAAATTTAATCTTTCTCGGTATCTTTCACGCGATTGCTGCGCGCGCGCGATCGCCCGTGCCTTCTCCCACGCTCGCAAAATGGTGACAATAAACGAGAATAAATTCGCGGGAATCTGAATTTCGCCGGGACGTTGCGCAATTACGAAATTAGTTGCACGTTTCGCGCGCACTTATTTCGGCCCGATGGCTAATTAATCGCAGATGCGACTGTAATATAGGGAAATTAATTCGTCGATGAACCCTTGTGTCAATAACGCGATTCCGCTGGTGCTTACTTTCTATTTACGTTGAAAAATCTTTTCCATTCATGTTGGACAATTGTGAAACTATATTTTTGACGATTGTTTTAAAATTTGTACATTTGTCGGTTTATGTGTACTATAATCGTAATTCCTCTTACTTTAGTAACGTTTCTGGTTATTACGTTTTATTCGAGTATCTTGCAATGCCTTAAAACTTGCTGTGGAAGGTTAATTATTAAATATTAAAGAAAAGCAATGAATAGAAAATCCTTGCTATACATTCAATTTATTCTTTTAGGAATATAAAAAAAAATACTTTGAAATCTCAATTATCGAATACCATTAAATCTTGGCTTACTAATATCAAGCTAGGTACACGACAAACATTTCAACTGAAATTTCATCAATTTTTTTCGCAAGTACTACAAAAACACCAACTGTTTCTCTGATGTCAATATTTAACTTATATTCCTTT